ATATCTATTCCAAAAAAATCTATCAGTTTGAAAATTTTGGGTTTTAAAGCAACAATTTGAAAGTTTTCAATTTTAATTATCAGTTTACGCAGAACAAATTAACAAATGATAACTTATGTAAATTTGAATGCTTCTTAATTAATAATCTTTTATCAGCTATTTTTGATCATTGTATGCAGTTGCACCATATCAATTTAATATTTGTAATCATAATTATTAGTGATCAGTTTAATATTGTAAGCTTTGTTAGTGTTAAATAGTTATTTGAAAAATTTGAAATTTAAAAAAAAACTTTTTTAAAAAAAATAGTTCTCGAATTAGTGAAGTATGCGAAAAGTAAGCATTGATTTGTTTCATGACAAATTTAGCAAAAAAAAAAAAAATCAAACGAAATCGAAAACAAAAATGAAACAAGTTTTCAAAACGGGAAAAAAATTAACAAATTAAAATTAAAATTAAAATCTTTTTTAATCAGATCAAGAATTTAGATTGATAAGTTCAGAAAGAAAAAAGAAGCAATCATATTGCAAATGAGCGAATTCTTTTGATCTTATCATAGGAATAGAATGGATAATCGTTGATGCTTATCATTGAATGAAATTATTCAAATAGCTATCAGAAATTTTTAAAATTTAATTTTGTTGAAATTAATTGAATAGTATTTAGATAGTTCTTGGAATATATCGGAAATGAAATTAATCGTTTCCTATTTGCATTATTTGAAGTAACTATTTTTTTTTTTTGTTTTTGCTAATTGAATTCAATCGAATTCAGGCATGACAATATATTTTGTTCGAACAAATTCCACTTCGCTTTTTTATTTTTGATATCAAAAATGTCGTCTTTAAAAAAGGAGAAAGTAAATAATTTGTGAAAAAATTGAAAACATGATTTCAAATTGATTCCAATTTCTGAAGCATAATTCTGACTTCTGAAGCATAATTATGGCTTCTAAAGTGTAATTTTGATTTCTGAAGCACAATTCTGAATTATGAATTACTTCTGGGTTTCTAACATGCAATTCTGAATTTTGGAATAATTTCGATTCTAGTTCAATCTCATCTTCTGTTCAAATACAATGATACTGTAATACAGTTTTCAAATAATTTTAAAATAGAAAATGAAACTTATTGGATACATCTGAAAAACGAATTCTATCTTTGCTAAAACAAAAGTATATTAATATTAATTAGACCAAAACGGTCGCACTAATTTTCATTTAATTACACTAATTTAATTAATTACACTAATTTTCAGTAATAAACAAATATTTTTTTTTTATTCAAAAGAAATAGAAAAAAAGAAAGAAAATAAAAACTGAAATAACACTATCCGTCGAAAAATTATTGTTCTTAGATCATAAAAAAAAAAAACGATTTATATACTTTTAAAAAAAAAATGAATAAAATAAGCAAATTGTCATTCCCAAATTACTTCGATTTTTTTGTTCTTTTTTTTTAAAAAAAAAAAAAATTTGAAAAATCTTTCCAAAAAATCATAAATATCCATAATAACATTATGTATAAATGATACTAAAGATTGAATGATACAAATGATAAAATGAATTATCATTTATCAGTATAACAAATATTTCTCTTTCTTTTGCATATATATGTATATATTTCTTTTCATTGTTATTACTTCATAGATTTATTTACATTCAAATGATATGTCTTTTTTTTTTTTT